GGCTGCTCCCTTTTGCTCTGCCCCCTCTGAGCAGAGCTCAGTTTATCTTGTTCTGCTGAGTGGGGCAGAGGTGGAAGAGGCTGAACCTTTGAGGCCGGTGTCCTGTGGATGCCTGTGCTGCTTGTTGGATGCTCACTGCATCAGGGGTCCTGCAGCTGGAGGAAGCTGTCACTTCTGGAACTGAAAGCTCATCCCACTGCCTTGCAGACTTGTGTTGTGGCTCATGTGTCAGCCTGTTCCCAAATAATCGTGCAAACAAGTGGGGTGCTCAGGCTGCTGAATTGGGAGGAAGATTACAGGAGGTTTCCATGGGCACGCTGCTTTTTTTCCTCCCTCTCTAGAAAGGGGATGTTTGAACAGGCATCCACCCACCTTGGATGAATGACTTTATAATAAAGGCTTCTTTTTGGCTCCTGGGTCCCAGAAGCAGAAATTTCTCTTGAGTCAAAGAGCTGAGATTGTTTTCTCTCCACTTACTGGCCTTAAGTCTCCATCTGTTTACTTGGCAGTACTTTACCAGGACCTGATCATTTGATTCTGAGCAGTAAGTGACAACATACCAGGCAGCACTGACCCTGTCAGCTGTAACTCCTCCTGTCAGCCACCGTTGATGGCTCGAGGCCATTCCTATAAATCCCCTGTGGTTTGCAATTGCTGAGGCTCGGGGGGTAGAGCACAGCAGCTCTAGTAGCAGCACTACAAAAGGATGTGGCTTCCTCCTTCGGAGGCAACGGAAGACGTGCAAAACACCTCTCAGTTTGCATGTTCCTGCTTCTCCTCTCCTGCAGGAAGAAGGGAAGAGCTGCTTGGGGTTATTAACAGCCCCCTTTTGTCTGTGTCCTAGGCTGAACCCAAAGAATGTGCACCAGAGGCCCACGGTAGCTCTGCTGTGTGGCCCCCACGTGAAGGGGGCGCAGGGCATCAGCTGCGGCCGGCACCTCTCCAACCACGACGTCCACGTCATTCTTTTCCTCCCCAACTTTGTCAAGATGCTGGAATCCATCACCAACGAGTTGAACCTCTTCAGCAAGACGCAAGGCCAGCAAGTGTCCAGCGTCAAAGGTAGGTGGCAGAGGAGCAGATCCGCTCTCTGCCTCAGAGACCTGCGCTGCTCAGTCCCCTGGCACCATCTAGTGGCACTGCCGCGGGCCGGTGGCTGCTGAGAGCCTGGCAGGACAGTGGAGAGGTTCAACAGTGGAGCTGTTGTGCTGGTGCAGATGTTTCCTGTACGAACAAGCTGCTGCAGGGATCATAGCAGACCAGCCCTTCTCTTGCGATGAGGGCCTGCCTTGTTCAGCCTGTCGGAACTGCAAGTCGATGAGCATCCAACTGCAGCTTCAAGCCAAGCAGCAGCTGTGCTGAGCTCGTCCCACCAGCTGTCAGTTCACATCTCGTACTGTGCTAGAGAACGAGCTGGTGCTTCATCTTCTGTGAGACAACTGGCTTCTGTTTAATGTCTCACCAGTGTTATTTCCAAACCCGGTTCATTTAAAACTTCTCGGGAGAAGCAAACCTGGGCATTAGGGTAGTGCTGACTGTGCTGGGCTGGCTGAGCTACTTCCCTCTTAGCTTACAAAAGGACTTGGTCAGGGAAGGGGAATGCAGCAGAGGTGATGCAGAGCAGGGCAGTGCTCCCCAGTGGAGCTCAGCAGGGCAGGCAGCAGCGCAGCACATGAGCTGCCTTTCAGTAGTTGGTGCCTTCCAGAAAAATAGCCTTTTTTTCAGCTTGTGGACTAGAAAAATGGTCCTTTTTTAATGGAGAGAGCACCCTCCTGCTTCTCTGGGCTGCCTGGACTGAGCCAGCTCAAGGGCAGCATCTGGGGCCACCACTTGATGACGTTTCGTACCTGAGAGTCTGAGCGACTGCACAGTGCTAAAGAGCCTTTAAAGACTGGTGTTAGTGTCTCGTGCCGGGGGATGGCAGCGATGACAGGTAAGGCCAGGCTGTACGCAGTGGGATTTGGGTGCTGCAGGCAGAAATGAAGAACCTGCTGGCAGCACAAGGAGGGAGGGCACTGAGAGCCCGAGTTCAGAGCTTCAGGTTGATCCTCCGCACTCACCAGCCTTTGTGTTTGTTCCAGATCTCCCCGACAGCCCCGTTGACCTGGTGATCAACTGCCTGGATTGTCACGAAAATGCCTTTCTGAGAGATCAGCCTTGGTACAAGGCAGTGGTGGACTGGGCCAACCAGAACCGGGCCCCCGTCCTCAGCATAGACCCCCCCATCAGCGAAATGGAGCAGGGCATCGATGCCAAGTGGTCGCTGGCCCTGGGGCTGCCGCTGCCGCTGGGCGAGAGGGCAGGCCGCGTGTACCTCTGTGACATTGGCATTCCCCAGAAGGTCTTTCAGGAGGTGGGGATCAACTACCACTCACCCTTTGGCTGCAAGTTTGTCATCCCCCTGCATTCCACTTAGAGCCAGCCACGGGGCTCTGAAGGGGGAGAAGAGGAGGAGGTGTGTCAATAAGCTGTGTAGTGGGTCCTGCCTGGTTAACTCGTGTGACGCCTTAAGGATGGGAAGTTCTGGAGAGGATTTTTTTTTGTGTCCTTCCAGAAGAAATATTGTGTATTTAACAAAAAAAACAACAACAAAAAAGAGAGAATAATTGTAAAATGAAACAAAACCCAAGGAAGTGAATGTTCCTGCAGAGCTGTTCTCATTCTCTTGTGCCATTGTATGAAGGAGTGTGCAGGAAGATGGTGTCTGTCCCTGGCCAAGTGACTGCTACTGACCAGGCCCAGCCAGAGGGTGTTTGTTGAGGGGTTGCACATGGAGGTGGTACAAGTGATGGGTGGGTTGTTGACTGGAGCTGTGGTTCCGTCCTTGTGGGCAGCTAGAGCCAGTGAGATTATCCTGGTGGGAACAGCACCCCTGGTTGTGTAGGAATTCCTCCTGTTGCAGTCATACAGGAGGGAGGGTTTGGTTTCGTTCTGTCGTTCTTTTGGACTCCCTCCCCTCCCTTGTTCTATGTTCCTGAAGGCAGTTGTAGGTCCCTCTCCCTCCTGGACCCTCCAGCCCTTCAAGGAGAACATTCCCTCTTTTGGAAAGCTTGTGGCAAGAGCCAGAAGCTCTCAGGTCACACATGCTCTGGGAACACCAAGTCCTCATCTGGGCTTTACTTGCTTATGTACTTGGTTGGCTTTTTGTTGGTTCTCTTAGTGGTGAAGCCCAGGCTGGAGGAGTGAGGTGGATGGTGGAAAAAAGGTTTCCAGGATAGTTGGGAGGGGGCTTGGTTTATTTTCCTTTTCCTTTCTGGCACAGTGAGTGAGTGAATCAGGGAAAGGGTAGTGAAGCAGGGCAGTGTCACTTGGAGTTTGGTGCGTTGGTCTATGGTACAGGTGATACTTGGACAAGTTCCCCCATTGAGTCCAGTATCCCTGGTGTGTGTGGGAAGTGAGTCATGGATCAGTTCATTCCCTTTGGGCTCAAAGCCTGTGTGTGGATGTGTGTCTGTGTGCAAGGCAGGAGCTCTCTCCTCACACGGAGGTGCTCAGCTCCCTCCTCAGTGCAGCAAGAGTGGTCAGTGCTTGAAGCTCTGCTGCTCTTCTGGCCCCTTACCTGTCCCAGAGCTCCTGCAGGTACCCAATGCTTGCACAGAGCCTGTTCCGCCCTCTAGGAGAGCCTCAGAGCTTCAGCTGGTGCCCATTCTCCAGGGGAGCTGGCAGTGGAGCTGCTCTGTCGCTGTGCTCTGCTGAGCAGCAGAGTCTCTCTTAGCAAAGCTATTGTCCTGCTTGTGTAAATCCTCACCCCTTGGAGCACACCAGGCACTTGCCTTTCCCTTTCATCTGCTTACGACGAAGTGTGTCAAAGGAGGGCAGAGCCTTGAGTGATTAACATTGCCTGCAAGTGGGGGGCGATGGGGAAGAGCCAGCTGTAAGCAGAGGAGCACTGGGCTTGCCCTACTTGGGTAGCAGAGCAGTTGGTACTGAAAATACAGATGTGAGGCTTCCCTCTGCCTCTTGTGTTGCTTTGCCTGTTTGTTTCATCTGACCTCGAGGCAGAGGAGCAAAACCAGTGGAGGCCCATCCCTCGGTCATTGCGGTAGTATAATATTAGCTTTAGTCCCCTGATTTTCACTTTCCTTGCTCAAGACACCTGATAAGAGGTTGCTGTTTCAATTCCTGCTTTCCTTGCCCCTTCTGGGTTGGGCTTTTGACCTGTAGATTGTCCGCACTGAGCGCTAAGGGGGCAGGAAGGTCTGAGGCTTGGGGCTGTGTTGGGCACAGTCACCCTTCACAGCAGCTGGTGCCAAGAGCAGATTTGGGCATTTGGCTGTACTTCCCTTTGGATACTTGTGGAAGTACTGGCCTCACCCACGTGAAATGCACCTCCTGTGCTCTCCTGGAGCACTCGGAGCCCTAGGCAGGGCACTGGATCCCTTCTTCCCCTCTCGCCATGTTACCTGTTCAAAGCCCAGCTCACTTTCTAGCTGTGTTTGCGATAGTTTCTGCCCCCAGCCTTCAGCACCACCGTAGGAAGTGCCACAAGTGCTGCTCTGGTCACTGCCACGTGAAGATCACTGCACTATGTCACTGCTTGATACTCCATTTGTGACCTGATGTTTGTAATGACTAATTCCTGCCACTACTGGGGGATGCCCTGAAATAAAGTGCAACTATTCATGTGTGCTGGGCGTGTGGAGCTGAGTTATTTGGCTGCTGTGGTTCTAGAGCCTTCCTGCTGCTCCAGGGCAGGAACCACTCACCCTCACTTTCTGCTGCCTAACTTCCAGTTCACCTCCATGGTGCTCTGCAGCTGGGAACAAGCTCCCCCTCCACCTGCCTACAAGGGAAGTAGCAAACAATAAGAAACACTTTATTTTAACTTTACAACATATAAATAGACAAATCTGTGCTTTCCAACAGAGCTTTTCTTCCCTCCCCTCCCCAGGTCCTTAGTGCAGTGTCCCAGCCCCTCTGAGGGTGCGTGGGGCTGGGCTGCAGAGGCTGGACTGATCCTGGAGGTACAAATCCAGCGGGAATCACCCCATCCCCGGCTGTCATCTGCTCAGGTCCCGGCTGGCGCCGCGGCCGCACAGCATCCTTTCCTCTGCAGAGAGGCCGGTGAAGAAGGGATGCAGGAGGGCTTCCGAGAACGTGATCCTCTGGGAAGGCTCGAATTCCAGCATCCTCCTCATCAGGTCGAAGAGCTGCGCGTGCTCCAGCGAGTCGTGCAACATGTAGGTCTGGAAGAGAAGGGGGGGGCAGAGAGGGGATACAGCACGCTGGTAGGACAGGGACCGAGTCCTAGGCCCTGCTTAAGTGGTGCATGGCATCAAACACAGCGTCCCTCCCTGGCACAGCCACTCCAATCAACTTCACTGCAGAGGAGAGCGTGGGGCTCTGCAGATGCCAGTTCCTATGGGAAATTCCCATCCTGAAGCACCACCACCGCTGATACGGGGAAGGATTAACGCAGCCAGGCCTCCAGCAGCACCTACCCGCAGGGGCTTGCAGTTCTCTTGGACGTATCTCCCATCAGATGTGTTCTCATCCCAAACCAGGTTTCCATTGTGGAAATACTTCTGCTTCCTGTCAAGGGAAGGTGGTGTCAGTAAAGCTACTCCTGGGATGTGTCCAGCGCATCTCCCATGGCTGTACCCGTATAAGAGAGGCGCAGTGTGAGGACAGGGAACTTGTAGCCTCTAATCAGCCAGAAGAAGGCCGTATAGGAGAGGCGCAGGGCGAGGACAGGGAACTTGCAGCCTCAGTAATCAGCCAGAAGCAGTTGTCTGGGCTGGCTGAGGGCAGGCAGAGGCTCTCACCGAGTTTTGTGGATCATGTGAGATGGAATTGGCCCAAGGATCTTTTCCATCATGACGAGATGCTCCCGGTTCTCATGGGTCTGCGAAGGAAAAGAGCAACAGGGCATTAATTCAGGGCTTGGGAGATGTGACCACAAAAGGTTTGTCTCCTACACAAGAGCAGGGGAAGAGACGAGCCTCTGGAATGATGCAGGCTCTGCCCCCTTCTGCCTCCTGATTCTTCTGTTCTCCACAGCACAGTGAAGAAACCAGAGGTGACCCGAGCCTTGTGCTTCCAGCAACGGCACGATTCCTCAAACCCTGCGGTTTCCTGGGCTTCTTTACAAACTCACCACCTGATTTTCAGTCCCTGATCCCCTGATCCCTTCCCTTCAGCTAAGTCTGAGCCCTTTTAGACACTGAGGACTTTTAGGGTACAAATACCTCTTGCAAG